CATTGAGACGAATCGCATTTGAGGGAAGTCGATGAAACGCAAGAGGTGTTTGGTCACTATCAATAATCAGCTTTGCAGCAAAGTAAAACAGCCTAGAAAAATTATGCAAAATAAAAATCTAAAGCGGTGGTGTTTTTTTTAATAACATACGGTAAATGCTGCAGTTTGCTCATGACTGCATTGATTGGTAGGCGAGCCTTTTGTTTTTCGAAGAACAACTTCGACGCTGCTTCGACAGGCGTATAGGCTTTAGCAATCTTTTCAACGTCGTTCCCGGTTTCAATCGCTTCTTCTAAAATATAAACAAAATGTAAGTGGAAAACAAAAGAGCATGATTTTAGAGAAACAGAAAACAGCTTACCTTCAGCAAATGAGGAGAAACGAGTGATATGGCGGTTCATACGTCTACCTTTTTTCAGATCGTAGCCAGCATCTTTAAGTATATTTAAAATCCTTGTGCTACTCTCAGCATCCTTCTTTCTAAAAAGAAGAAACGTGAGCAAACAGCTTAGAGACCAGAATGACTTGCCAAAATTAAAAAAAACATCTGAAAAGCAACATAAACACATAATTAGCAAAAAAGCCTACATCCTAAACAACGTTATTAAAGCAGAAACGTTGAACATTTCAGGAGCTCCAACCCGGCGAAGTAGTTCATTGTAGGTTATACGGTATTTAGGAATTGACTGCTTAATTACAAGTCTTCCGACCAATTTTGCTGCAACTCTTTCATTGAATTCCTCTTCATTCGGTCGAACAATCTTCGCCCGGCGTTTTCGCTTCCCGGTAGTTGTGCTTCTAACATTTTCCTTATTCAAACTTGCGCTGAATACCACATCACCCTTACACCTGCTTGGTAAGTCTCCTCAAACAAAACAGTAAGAGCGAAAACTGCAAACTGGAAATGGAAGGCAAAATAAATCGTTGTTATGAATAATTCTTAACAATGGAAGTATATTTTAAGGGCCAAGTTCGCTGGACGAGAATTGGTGTTCGGAGAACTTACCTGCCGGACGGTCTGGATCACTCGTGAAACTGCATCCAAGCTAGAATCGTATTGGAACTTTTCAGTTATATTCATAATGATAGAATGCAATTTTAAAACTTATTGATTAAACTTTGTCGTATTTTTTACTACCAGAAGAAATTTTTATAGAATGCTGCGAAAACAAAAAAACTAACACCGCTGTCATTTTGTAGTGAGATTAATTCGTCGGTCAAGAGAGGCTGCAAAATATTGACCTTTAAATTCACATCAAAAGGGGACCATAGTAGAAAGAGGTGAAAAAGATAAACATAGATTAGATGGAAAAAGTGTTGACAAAGTGTGAACTTACAGATGAAGCGGTCTTTGCACAATGAACGTTTGAAGCACACTGTGAAACTGTTCCGATGATATCTGTCTTTAATTTTTTGCTTTTAACTGCCATCATATTCAACATTGCGGTACGCCTCCGACGTTTTACTGGCTTTGGTGTTAGTTTTTCCTAAAAAAAATAAAGAGATTCATTAACGCCTAACGAAATGGGTACGAACTGATGTGTATTGAACACAGCCCTTTCCAATAGATTCTTGTGATCTAGATGCTTACATCAGTAGTGTTAGTTCGTCCGTCACCTTCTGCGTTGCTATTTATCTAAATAAGTATAATGCTGGTTCTAAAATCAGGGTAAAACAAGGATGACGAAGAGTTTAAAACTTTTAAAAAGTTTGAAAGAGTTTAAAAAAATTATCTTGACAGATGCAGAACCGTAATTAAAATAAACCTGTGATAAACAAATACTCCCATCTACCGACGGCGTTGCAATGCCGCTGTCAGGAGTCAACCATGGATCCCTGACGATATCCGACTAAAAAAAAATCAAACCGTTTGAAAACCGAAATAAGTACAGATGAAATAAGAAAGGTCAACTAACATGAAATCAACACCTTACTTTATCAGGCGATGAATTGCCTTCACCATTAAGCTGCAATGACATCCCCGTAACCGGAGTAGTTGGAGTGTAGACACCATAGTCATTATTTTTTATAGACGTGGAAGCAGAAGTATTTTCCGGAACAAACTTAATGGTAGTTTGAACTGATAAATCGATATGACGGGCGACGACCATTTTTGTTGCTTGGTGCGTCGGCAGTTCGTTTGTATTTGATACTGAGGTTTGGCAGATCTATAAATAATGTTTGCTACACTCTGGATATTTGAGAAAGGTTCAATTAGGTGTTTCAAGTACTTTAAACTGCCGGTTTTCTTGTACAGCCATCATCTGTTTCGACGAGCTAGGACCCTGATGATGCCTTCCGGGAGGTGATCCCAGCGAATCACTGTTCTGAGACGAAGGCATTGGTGTCATTAGCGATGGCCATTCCGGTTCTGCAGATGCACTGTCATAATCTGTAAATTATGAACCAAATTTAATTTTTTTTATACATCAAATTTTCGTCCATCTTTAAGGAGAGAAATTGATACTTAAAATATTCAAAATAAAGAGCGTTTCTTCACCGTCTAGATTATTTAAAACTGCAATATAGTCTCCAATAGCAAGACTAGTTTCTGCCATAGTAGCACAGAATATTGCTGACAAATAAAATAAGTTGCAAATATAGTGAAGATAACAATAACAACGAAATAACAACGAAATATGCTATTAGTATAGCTTATTCC